CCCCAAAACCCCAAAACCCCAAAACCCCAAAACCCCGATTTTAAGGATTAAATTGAGAGATTAAGGTTCATTTGATTCTAATCTTGAGAGATGGAGTTTCATTTCTTCGTGCTTTTTAAGGCAAGATTCGTCAAATTGTCAATCAGCGTTCTCTTCATTGAACTGAGGAAGATCAAATAAATCCCAGTCATTCATATCGGCTTTGCCTAGAATAGCAGAATATGATATGTCTTCTGGATCTTTAATGCCTAAATTTTCTTTAAGCTTCTTTATCTGTTCAGTGATAATAACTGGATCTGAGTCTGTTATCTTTGACTCATCCCGAACTGTATCATCAAGTTCTTCATCTCCAGCAACACATGTGCTTCACTTTACAGTATCATTGAAAGATTCTAAATATTGAATCAGAGAATTACCTTCAGAAACTTTTTGAGCATTAACTGCTTCTTCTCCTTGAACTACTCTCATAAGATCCTCTGTTGAAAATTTTTTACTGACAGGGTCTATCTTGTATAAATAATACAGCAGCATCTGCTCTGAATAATTTGTGAATGTTTCTTGCAAACCTTTATACATATCTCTCAGATATTCAACACTCGGAGGAGCAACCTCTACATTCTTAACTGACTCAAATGCTTTCTTATTAGTCATGATGTAAATAGGAAGTTGGTCTAACTCTCCTACATTAATGACCCCATCATGGATGGATTTGCTATCATCAAGAATTGAGATATCTCCCTCTTTTACTTCTTCTGTATTAGAAGTAAGATAATGAAGAATATTACTTACCTTGAAACTTAGACTTTGTTTCGAGATTAATGAAATGCTCTATCTGTACTTTCTTTATTAAATAAATTTTGACTAGGCATACTCCGCTTTCAGGGTTCTTGACAAGAACAGCCTCAGAAGAGTCTCCATTTTTCTGAAACACTAAATCATAGTCTTTAAGATGGATAGCTGCAGATTCTGTTGGGAGGGCAGAATCTTCTTGTCATGTTCTAATATCCCTAATGATATCCTCACTGGACATCCACTTGTTATAGGTGCCAAACCATACGTAAGTTTCTTTTTGGTAATCCCTCTTTAACTTATGTGGATTCATATCTGATTTAAAGTCTTTCTTCTCAGTAGGGAACTGTGAGTCATCATAGACTGACTTCTCCTGGACTTTAGTGTTATCTGCTTCCTTTGTATAATAACTATCCTTCTCTGAGAACACAGACTTGTTTAGTAAGTATACATACTTAGAGTTGCTACTCTTCTCCATTTTCTAGATTTTAATTTAAACTAAAAGGGGTTTTGGGGTTTTGGGGTTTTGGGGTTTTGGGG